CAGTGAAAAGGGACCCCTTTCAAACAGTGTTGCGTTCCGAACGTTGTTTAAGCGACATACACCGGTATTGCAGTATTTAAAAAATTCATATCATAACAAAAATAAACATCGGTATTCGGTATGAACCGGTATACCGCCCAGCACTAGCTGATATAGACAGTTAATTCCTCTCACGCATGTGCAGAACGCACGTGTGAGTTTGCCATCGGCTGTAGTCTGTGCGGTGTGTTCGAGCGCAGCTTTTTGGTCCGACGCGAGGCGACAACACTGTCGGCTTTCGTCGCCGCTAGTTCTTTGAAGTCGGCTTGGTGTGTCCCGGCCTTCACGTCGGCAGCGTCGGACCAAAAAGCTGCGCTCGAACACACCGCACAGACTACAGCCGACGGCAATACGAGATAAACGCAGATATACGAAACGTAAACAAAGCAGCGCTTGCTTACCATTTTGAATATCAGTAACGTTGATAAATGTAATCATTTTAAGTGGCTCATGTTATGAAAACATTCGCATATTAGAATGATTGGGAAAGATCACGTAACATTTAAACAGCCTTCTGTCTGTACCGCCTTCGTTCGCTAAACTGAACATCCAATCAGAGTTCTCACTCGCACCGACGGTCCCGACGCCGATTCAACATGTTGAATCGGGCAAACTGCCGCCGACGTCAGCCCGACGAGTGGAACACACCAAACAAACTAGCCCGACGTTGGCCAACGGCCGACCGTCGGCTTGGTGTGTCCCGACCTTTAGTCGAATCCAGTTGTGAGATCTTGTGAAGTGTGCATGTGACCTGCATGATCGTGTGTTCTCTGCGTGAATTTCTGTCAGTGCAAATTGAATGCTTTAAACATTAAATTCGTGATTTCAAATTATGCTGCGCTTTATGCATTTGCCCACTGTCATATTCATATCATTTTCACTGTATGCTGTATGTAAAATGAGTGTTACCTTGCCTTTATTTGAAAAAATATGATTCCCAATGCACACAAACAAAAGTGCTGTTGGTTACGGTTTACTTCCTTTTTAATTATATTTTTATTAAATATTTATTTATTTGTGGAAAATACTTTGTCATCTAAAGTATAAGTATGTTTATTTTACAAATTTATTTTTTAATCAATTTTCAAATAATTTTCAAATTTCTTAAATATTAATTAAAATAAATACAATTATATCACCCATCGGCCACCCTGCTTTCCAAGATATAGGCATCGGCTGTCAAAAAACCAACATCGGTCGACCACTAGTACAGACCACTAGTAAACATTTTAACACACTGCAGTACCGTTCAGATCATACCTGAAATGGATATCGGTTCAAGGACAGGTATTCAGCAAGGATGTCCAACATGCGGACCATCTGAGAGAAGATGAGCACACGGTTGCCTCTCTCCCTGAGTCGCGTGAGAAGTTTGTCCAGCAAAACAAGTTTCCCGCTGCCACGCACCAAGCTCTGAACAAACATTAACAAACAACCTGAAAATGACGTCTCCTAAGAACAAAATCATACGGTTTGAGTGTAGAAGAGCCATACCTGTAGGTGCTCTTGTGTTTTTTCATTCTCACGCTCCTCTGGTTGTTTGATGAGGAAACCATGGTTACAACATTTCTTCAGCTCCATGACAATGTTAAGAAAACCAGAAGAGCTGCCTCTGGTTCCTTTGGACAAGGCTTTGTAGTTTCTTGTTAGAATCCATCTGAAAAAGTCACATTACAAATGAACAATGATGAGATGGACAGATGTTCTCTAAACACTTGCATTCCAATTGTATGCAGTCTTAGAGTCTGGAATCAAAATTTGTCTCAATCAAAGAGTTACTCGATTTAGAGAGCTATGAAATGGGATAAAACAGTACTTACTTGTAGAACTGTTTTTGCTGGGCAGACATGTCAACTCTGAGGATTTGCTCCACTTTAGCTGGCAGGGATTTCTCCACATCTTTCTTGACACGACGCAGTAGGAAAGGCTCCAGAACTTTGTGTAGGCTCTGATAACCATTATCCCTGCCTTTACCATGCTCATCCTCAAAATCCTCCCAAGACTCAAACCTAATAAGAGGCAAATAAAAAAAACAGGGGTTTTAAACTTCTTGACTTCACGGACCCCCAAATATGATGACCTCCTTCCTAAAATATAAAGGCAGCTACATACATTCATGTTTAAAGACCTGTTATAATACTGTGTGAGAACATACTTAACATAATATTATAAAAAAAAAGTACTACTTGTAATTGTCTTTTAATTTATTGGCTAAAATACACTACGATTTAAAAGTTTAGAATCAGTACGGTTTTTTTTATGTTTTCGAAAAAAAAAAGTCTCTTATGCTCATTAAGGCTGCATTTATTTGATCAAAAACACAGTGGAAACAGTAATATTGTGAAGTATTGCCATTTAAAATAGCCTGTTTCTATTTTAGTATATAATTTATTCCTGTGTTGGTGAAGCTGAATTTTTAGCAGCCATTTTGAACGGTAGTGTATATCTTAAAATATTTTCATTTGTATTTGTTACTTTTTTCTACCTGTTATTAATGTTAGATTACTAAACAGAATATACAAAAGCATTTTGAATTCAAATTTATTTGTACAGAGCTTTTGCTTGAATAAATAAATTTCTAAAGCAATGTGTTTAAAAAGAAGTTAAATATTTACTAATATATTTACTAACATTTTAACGTTTAAACTTTGATGGGCATAAAAAACAAATTTTTAATATTTATATTTTCTCTCAATTTTTGTAGTGGAGCCAAAATTGCAAATATGAACCTGTATTTTCATTATGATGGTGCAAACCCTGACTGTGAGTACCTACTTGTCAGGCATAAGAAAGTGCAGAAGGGACCACAGCTCTTTAAGCGAATTCTGCAGTGGGGTCCCAGTAATGAGCAGCCGGTGATTGGATCGAAAGTCGATCAGAGTTTTATATAGCAGCGAGTCGTCATTCTTAAGCCGGTGAGCTTCATCAACTCCGAGGAAAGCCCAGTTTATATTCCCCAGCACTCCCTGCATACACAGACAAGCCTTGACTCAATAATAATGTCTGAATAATGAAGAACTCATTTCTATGACACACGAAGCAAGTACAAAAGATTAAGTCAAAGATACATGAATATCATACCTTGTCCTTCAGTAGAATTTCATATGTGGTCAAAAGTGCATTAAACTTGATTCTTTTTGTCTGCTGGTGGATCCATTCATAGTCCCGGATCTGGTCAAAAACAGAGCGTTATACCTCAAACCTGTATTATAATAACAGGTTGGATTCTTTGTGGTTGGATTGTCTCAGCATGAGTACTAGCTTACTGTCTTTCTACTTGTGACGTCTCCCAGGTACACCACTACATTCATGTCCGGGGCCCATATATCAAACTCCCTCTGCCAGGAAGTGAGGGTTGACAGGGGTACCACCAGGATGAAGGGACCGTAAAGCTGGTGCTGATGGAAAAGGTAGGAAAGGAAGGATATTGTCTGAATGGTCTTTCCCAGGCCCATTTCATCAGCTAAGATAACACTGTTACACCTGCAGAACATAACAGAAACCAGAGATGAAGACAGCATGGTTCATTCAAAATCAAGAACTAAAATGAAAGCTTGATATTAACTATTTTTTTAATTAACTAAAACTATTACAAATCATGTTCGTTTATCAAAATAATAAAGCTGAAATAAAACAAAATATAAATATTAGAATTAGAATATACATTTTTTTTTTTAATGAAAAAAAACGTCTCGGCAACTAAATGAAATAAGCTTGCGTACTAAAATGACTAAAACTGAATTCAAAAAATAAATTCAAGCTAAACAGAATAATATTAAATACAGAAAGAAAAATAATAATTGTCATATAAATGACAAAAACAAAATTACTTAAACTAAAATTAAAATGAAAGCAAAAGTATAAAAATAAAAGCTATTAAATAATAAAAGCTAAATATAATAAAAGCTAAAAATAATATAAAATAATAATCAATAATAGTAACAGTATATAAATAATACTAAAATAACACTGATATTATATACAATATTCTTTTTTAATATTGATAACTTATTTAATCAAATGAATATTAATATTAGCTAATGACATTTAAATTTTATTAAATTAAACCTTGAACCTTGAAGTGTTTCTACCTTTTGTTAGTATTATTTTAAGGTTTTTCCAAGTAATTATTTCAGTAAGTAAACAGACGGTAAAAAAAAAAAAGAACAAAAAAAAGTACTCCTCTTCGTTAGTTCTGTATTTTCAATTAAAAATTTTTTTATAAAACAGCACATTTATTAGGTTTCTTTTTTTCTTCAAGGCTTATTGCACAGAAATAATATTTTGACACTGTGACGAGTGGGGACGGGGCCAAGAGCCGTGGGAACGGAGCGAGGCCGGTGGAGTGAGTGATAATGAGCGACACCTGCACCACTCACCGGTCTCGAGTCCCACGGGGGAGCTCCGGAAGAATAAAAGGAGGAGCTACGACAGTGAAAGACGAGAGAGGACCAGGCCTGGACTTTATTTTGTGTTTTGGTTCTGTTTGTGCGCGACAGTCGTCCGCGAGGGGCTGTCGCGCTATTTTGTGTTTATTTTATTATTAAAGTTTTGTTTAAATGTTCGCCGGTTCCCGCCTCCTTCTTCCCGTGACTACGAACTGTGTTACAGACACAATGTCAATGCCTGTACTTCATCTGTAATAGAAAGTAATCAATTCCTCACAAAAAGCTCCACTTGTACATTACATACCTGCACCAGGAGTGAGCTAGCCAGTTCACTCCATCTAACTGGTAATCTCTGAGTTGAAGGATCTCATCTCCAATGTAAGAAGGCTGCTTCTTCAAGGCCACAAATCTTGGCCTCTGTTTCAATACCTTCCATTTGGGCAAAAAAAGAAAAGAAAAAAGATGACATTGTTCACATAACAGCATGGCACTATGCTCCAACACCTTTTCCCAAAGAAACAAAGCAAAGCTCCATCAGAACTCAATCTCATCCTCACCTTACAATCTTTGGAAGGAATCGTCTTACAGGCATTTCTGTTTTGAAAACTATCAATGCAGGCCTGAAATTTCTTTCCGATTAATGCGCCATCCTCCCATGTGCACTCTGCATATGGCAGCCCCATCCACTTACACAGGTACTCTGGCTCACTCGAACTGCTTTTATGAGCTGTTGCAACATAACAGAAAATGATTAAAGTAGTAACCATCTCCCTTGACCAAGTAGATCAGAAATAGTGCAATTTCAAAAGCAGCAAACTTACAGGGAAAGTCTGAAGGAGCTTGTGTTTTCCCAGTTCTCGTTGCTGATTAAACGAGAGAAAACAAAAATTAATAACAGATCATAATATTGCATTACAATATTATGATCTGTTATGATTATGATATGATCAATATTATAATTGCATTACATTGATCAAAAATGACAGACATTTTCAATGTTACAAAAGATATAAAACTTTTTTTTCTGAACTTTAAGAATCCTTAAAAAAATGAAAGAAAAAAAAAACATCATGGTTTCCACAAAAATATTAAGCACCACAATGGTTTTTAACATTGACAATACTAAGAAATGTTTCTTGAGCACAAAATCAGCATATTAGAATGATTTCTAACGGATCATGTGACACTAAAGACTGGAATAATGGCTGCTGAAAATTCAGCTTTGCCATCACAGGAATAAATACATTTTTTTAATATATTAAAATAGAATAGTTATTTTAAATAGAAATAATATTTCATAATATTACTGTTTTTATTGTATTTTTGATCAAATAAATGCAGCGTTAGCATGCTGGGAGTGAGAGCTGCTTTAGTGCATATACACTACCTTTTCAAATGGGGTTGGTAAGTTTTTTTAATGTTTTTGAAAGAAATCTCTTATGCTCACTAAGGCTATTTATTTGCTAAAAATACAGTAAAAACAGTCATATATATTCATAAAATTTAGGGATGAACAGATACCATTTTTTCAGAACCGATACCAAACATTTTGAGCATTGGCCGATACCAATCCGATACCAGCGCAGTTATTTTTATTTTTATTAATGTACCTCTGTGTTGACCTGCTCCTCACTCTTTTGTGTGTTAAACACAATCTACTAAATACAGACAACTTTATTATAAAGAAAAATAACAAATGAAAAAAAATCTATGAAACAATCTATGACACAAATACTATTATAAACTAGGTTAGTGGATAAAGTTCATCAAATGAGTGCTCAATCATTTTATAAAAACTAAACACTTCCCAATCTAGTGGGAAACAAATAAAAGTGAAAAAGTGTAGGACTGAATCTGTTAAAATTTTACACATTGCTCTTTGTATTGTTGTAAAATACATTCATGAAAAACAAGTAAATACATTTATATATAAATATATACAAATTTTAAAAGAAATTTCTTTTACATGTATAGCACAGTAATGAGGCAGCAACATATGATAGATAAGACAAAACAAGAAAGGCTATTGATAATCTTTCATTGTAGAAAAATTATTATAATATGAAAGTTTTAAATTTCAGTTACTGTGTGCGTGAAGAACAATTCATAGTGCTCTCTACTCCAGTGTAGTGATCTAACAGACACTGCACTAAACTCCAGCAAGATAAAGTCCTTTTATGCAAAACCATTCATCTTTATCTACAGATCAAGTATAATAATAGGAACATTGAATCATCTTGGAGAGTTTCATCGTCTTGAATGAGTGGAAGATGACAGACAGCCGCAGCGGAGAAAAGAGTTTATGTGAACTTGAATTTAACGACTTAAATATTCATCTGTACCTCACATTAAACTATGGAACGGCTTCAGAAGACTTGGAATATAGTGCATGAAAACTTTACTATAGTGCCTTTCGTGGGGCTTAACAATAACATAGAATAGTATACGCACAATATCGGATTCGGATCGGTCCGGCAGAAAAAGGCATTAACGGAGCCGATACCGTTTTTTTTTTTTTTTTTTTTTTTACCGAACGTTCCTCT